GTAGGTTTCTGCACTCACAGAGCAAGAAAGCTGAGTATTTTGGGGCTGAAGGCTTGCCAGTGCAGTGGGGTACCTCCAGGCACTTGGTAGAACTAAGTATACTGACCCATGGAGCTATACCTGAGAGCCTTTGGGCCAAGGCTTACTGGTAGAGTGGGGTGTCTGTGGGTACTTACCAGCAGAACTAAAACAGCTTTATAATATTTGCCCCAGCAGGACAGAGGTCAAGGGGCCATAAGAGGAGAGGACTGCCTGAATCACAGCTGAGAAAATGGTATCCTGGTTGAAGAACTGTATCCTGAATCATTTCTGACCCTGAATTGTAACCTATTACTTCTCTAATAAACTCCATAATTGTATTATCTGTGAGTTCTGTGTGGCCACTGCAACCAATTATCAAACCCAGCAGAAAAGCAGAGAGTACCATGGAGGGATAGTTGGTGTCAGAATTGGTAAAAATGTTGGAGGCAGGTTTGACCTCAGAAGATTCAGACTTGGGTTATTGATCTTGATCTTCCTCCTCTCTTGTGAAGTAAGAGGAGGTCAGAGGCCTCCACCACACCATTTTTAAAGCTATTATGAAAGACAAAAGACTAAATTATACTAAATACATGAATTATGTAATTCCATTCCTCTTATCAAATATTTCTAAGACCAAAAAAAAAAACTGTCATAGAGGAAATCTCTTGTGGGGACACGTCCAAAGCAACTTAGAATGAGGGAGAGTTGTATATTATTACAGTGCTGTGAATTATTCTCCTTTCATTTAGCTCAATTAAATTTCATGAGATACTATAAAGAATAAACTGTAGCTGAGAAAAAAAAAGTGGCTATGAAAATAAAATTATTTTATAATACAAATTTCAGTAGGTAATAATACTCTTTAATCACCATTTGAGGAAATACTACAGAGGATTTAGATCAGAGGTTTGCAAACTATGTTTTTGAAATTGAAATTTTACTGGAACAAACCTTTTGTTTACGTATTACCTATGGTTTAAAATATTTATTATCTGGCCCTTCAACAGAAAAAGTCTGCCAAATCCTAATCTAAGATATCTGAAAATTAAGCAAGAGTAAGATAGTTTAGAAAAAAAAAATTACCACTGCATATCTGTAAGAGTCCACAGAAAAGTTTACAGAAAAAAAGGTAAATTAAATAGAGCTTATGGTGATAACCATGATGAAGTAAGCCTACTAAACCTATCTCAGCTCTGATTATAAACTGAACACTCTCAAATACAAAAATAAACTCCCTGAAAACTAAACAGTAGCAAGTAGATTAGAGAAGGAGATAAAAACTTGAGAATAACTGGTACTTTGATGAACTTCCTGGGTTTACTTTCCTCCTTTATCTCTTTGCTTTGATTCAAGTCTGAGTCACAGAATTCCACAGTAGACAAGAAATAAAAACATTCCAACAGAAATCACACTTTTTGGTCAGAGATTCTGGAAAAAAATTTCCATAAGAGCCAGTGAGTACTGAGAGAACACCCAATTTTGGGGTTATTTTCCACTTTTTTTTCCCCTTTTTCTGACTTCCAATTCTTCTCTAAGGCAAGCCTTGAACGAGAAAAAGCCTATCTTTCTGGCTATAGGAACCAGGAAAAGAGGCCCCTGTGATAGAAAAAGTATGGGAGTAGTCATCATCATGTTTTTTGCCCCCCCCCCCCAAACTACTTTTCACTTCACTTCAGGGGCAGTCCCAAAAGCACAAAGCTGTATAATAGCGAGAAAGGTTAAGACCCAGAGAAACCAACATTTCTTGCTAAAAGTACCAGGATAAGAGGCCACTGGGAACCAGCATGTAGAAGAAATCATAGCAAGGTTAGAATGGTAGAATGAGATCCCTCAATTTTGTGCATAAATTGACACAGATCCCAGCCTCAATGTCAAACAGCATATGTATAGAACAGAACTAAAGCGTAACAAAGGTTTTCACAACTGAACTATACCAACTACTGTTCAAATCTTAGACAAATCTTTAAATTATGCAAGGAGCTGACCTAAAGAACATAGCAAACAATCTGTAAACTGAATTAACACTGGAAACATTAGGCAGAAAGGGTGAGACAGAATTTGGTATCTGAACTTAACTAGGTATATTGCCTACTAAAGCAAAACTAAATAAATTAAAAAGTAAATAGATGATTCTTCAGTATACTTTAACAGGACCCAGAGCCTCACAATATAACATTCAAATGGCATACAATTGAAAATTACTCAACACACAAAAAACAAAAGAGGAAATACAAACAGAAAAATGTGACCAGTTCTCCAGAGAAAAGGAAAATCAACAGATACCAATCCAGGATGATTCTGATGTTGAAATTACCTAACAATGACTTTAAAGGAACTATTATAACTGTTCCTTTGGTTAAAAATAAATGCCCTTGAATGATAAAAAATATATATATCAGAAATAGAAACTACCAAAAAGAAGCAAATGTAAATAATTTTAGAACCAAAACATAATATATGAATTAAAAAAAAAAATACTGCATAGTCTCTATGAAAGATGACAGGAGAAACAGTATACTTGAAAACAGATCAATATAAATTACCCAATATGAAAATCAGAGGAAAGAAAGATTTAAAACAAATGAACAGAGCCAGAGAGACATGTGCAACACTATCAAAAGGGCTAAGATCCATCCATGTCATTGGGCTTTCACAAAAAGAATAAAAAAGATTGGTGAAGAAAAAAATTGTTGAAGAAATAGATGAAAATCTAGTGGAAGACAAATTTACAGATTTAAGAAGCTCAGTGAACCCAAAATAGGATAAAATTAAAGAGAGTTACCCAAAAGACACCTCTTAAGTAAACTATACTAATCCAAGGGTGGAGGGAGGACTTTGAAAAAAGCCAAGATAAGGAAAAAGAATACCACATTCCATATAGGGCAGTAGCAAACCGAATAACTACAGATTTCTCATGAGGTATCATGGGGGACAGAAAGCAGCAGAAGATCTACCCAGATAATGAAAATTTGTTAACACAAATGTTGTTGTTGTTGTTGTTAACACAAATAACTGTATGCAAATATTTACAGTAGTTTTACTCATAATTGTCAAAAATCGGGGGGGGGGGATGTCCTTCAACTTGTGAGTGGATAAATAAACTGAATTATCTATAGAATAGAATATTACTAATCAATCAAAAGGAGAAAACTACTGGTATTTGTAATAATATGGATGAATCTTAAATGTATTTTGTTAAGTGAAAGAAGCCATACTCAAAAGGCTACACACTATATGATGCCATTTATATGACATTTTGGGAAAGGTAAAACTATAGGGATGGAGAGTAGCTTCTTAATAAAAAAACAAACTCACTGCCATCAAGTCGGATCCAACTCATAGCAACCCCTCCTTGGGTTTCCAAAGTGGTGTCACTACAGAAGTAGATTGCCCAATCTTCCTTTCCGACGAGTGACTGGTGGTTGCCAAATGTGAGGGCTAAGCTGAAGATGGACTACAAAGTAGCAGCACACGGGAATTTTGGGAGGGATGAAAATATTCTGTATCCTCATTATGGCAGAAGTAACACAATTCTACTCATTTGTCTAACCTAAGAACCACACATGAAAGACTGAATTTTACTGACTGGCAATTTTAAAATAACCTTACTAAAACGAAAATTAACTAGCTTATTACTGAAGAGTACTATTTGACTAACATCTTTCTTCCAAAAACTTCAATGAGAACCAAATAAAATCACCAATGATGTCTGTTTTGCTAACAGATACATGACTCCTTATCTTACTTGATTTCTCTGTAGCATTTCCCAGTTGAAAATTCTCTTATTTGAATCTCT